TGTCAGTTCCATTAGAGGAAGGTGTTCTGAAGTCGCTGAAGGAAGTGCGGAGTCAAAGAGCGAATATCGTCACTGTAAATGTGCCTGGCGCGTATGAGGTATAGCTCCGAATATATATATATATATATGTATAGTATGTGTCTGTGTCTGTGTCTGTGTATGTATGTATGTATATATGTATGCATGTATGTATGTATGTATATATGTATGTATGTATGTATGTGTGTATGTATGCATGTATGTATGTATATATGTATGTATATATGATTTTTATATATATATATATATATATATATTATCTGTATATATATATATATCATGAGATATATATATATATATATATATATATATATATATATATATATAATATACATGATATATATATACATACAGATTATATATATATATATATATATATATAAAATCATATATACATACATATATACATACATACATGCATACATACACACATACATACATACCTACATATATACATACATACATACATGCATACATATATACATACATACATACACAGACACAGACACAGACACATACTATATACATATATATATATATATATTCGGAGCTATACCTCATACGCGCCAGGCACATTTACAGTGACGATATTCGCCTCTTTGACTCCGCACTTCCTCAGCGACTCCAGAACACCTTCCTCTAATGGACTGACAACAGCATCGTTCCAGCGTGTGCGCACAATACCCACTTTCAAGGTACTGCCATCCGATGCAGGAATGGTGACGCCTTTGTTGAAGTCTTTTGGTTCAGTCATGATGGTACACAATTGCTAATATTGTTACGATTGATTGCTTATATGCACTGGCACTGAGGACGCTTCGAGTGAGTATTAATTATTTACATTTATATAAGGGGCTCAATTAAGACCAAACACAACAAGCACTCTACAGCATGTGACCAATTTTATATAAATTTAAAAAAAAAGGGATTTTTGATGTACTTACATATAGTATCGCAATGAAGTAAATATGTGTCGTAGGGTTTTGCTTTATTGTTGGGTTATTAGAGCTTTTAGATTGCCTCACTGCAATCACACACACAAGAGAAGTCAAGTACATAAATAAACGTGAAAACTATACGTACTGTGTACAAATATAGGGACAACAAGGTTTTCGTCGCTCACAAAGGCACGCATAATACCTCGCAACTTAAATGCAATTGGAAGGGCTTTCGATTAGCCGATAGTCATCTGGCCGCTGTAATGTCCAGGACTCCAGGTGCGTCATCCACTTTTGTATAGGAAACAACTCTTTGAGCACTGTGTGTGTTCACGCGAATGTTTGTGCGTACGTACACAAAGTGTGTATATATGGTAATATTATGTTATTGGATACTCAGCGTATGCTTGAAGTGTACTCAGGACTTGTACTGTCATACTATCCTTACACATCGTAGAAGACACCAAAGTAGGCCAACAGACAGGGATAGAACAGTCAGCAAAATAGCTACAACTGGGAACTCTCCCAATATAGTGATGCCCATATCTCTTAAAAGGTCTTCACGGAATGTGACGAAAGATACGTTGGATATATGCAGGTATTCATCCCAATCATAATCGTACTCATTGTGCGCAGTTGGCACACTAAGGACTTCGGCAATCTCACCAGCACTCATTCGCACTTGATTACTTAAGTACAAGTCATAATTTCTGTCCATATAGTCAACCCCTTCGTAATATTCGGGATGATTTCTCTGCGAGTATGTGGTCTCTGTGTGAATCGCATCACTCTGTGTCCTCTGAGAGCTGGCCAATGTCGCGACGGCTTCACTGGTGCTTGTGCTCGATATCTGACTGAAACTTGCGCTCCCGCGATTTGGTCGACCAATCTAGGTTTGTAATACGTGTTTGTGTATGAGTACCTATCTGAGGTGTCGACTTGGCTACAAGATGTCTATAGAATGATTCTAGAGAACTCGAACATGTTAGGCAGCAGCGTGAAAATTCCAATACAGCTCTCAGGCTAGGTGTGCCCATCTTTTACGCGACCAGGTGAGTAGGTGCATGTGCATCGAGCAAAGGATGTGCAGGCGTGACTTACAAGGCCTCCACATGGCGTCGTTACTGAAGCTCCCGCGTCCAGTCTGCATATTGACTCTGAGCTTCTGCATATTGAATGTGAGCTCGACAACACTATCCCAAATCGGTACGACAGCACCGTGAAGATATGTAGAGCGCGCTGCATTGAAGTATAGCTAATAGGGTCCCGGATAATAGAATTGAATTAAGTTGCCGCAGCAATACAGTATATTTATAGGCTAATCGTTGAGTATACTCGAAAAACCTACTTGTAAAATGTCTTCATTATGCAGCTCTGACTTCACGCATGACATGCAATAGTGCAGTGTTTATATAGCAGTCTATTCTGAACACGCGCGATGTCAAATCAAAATGAAATAATTCCGAATTATGAACCTCTGGTAAAATCCTATTATTGCTATAGTGTGTGTATTTAACGTCGCTGAAAAAAAATCCCTACCTGTCGTTCACGAGTGAAGTCGAGCTGAAATTGGAAAATATTTAACCACCACAATAGACAGTGCAAAGCATGTTGCACCTACATTCGAAGGTGTTCCAATCTGATTACTAATTGGCGGTCTAGTACGTCACAATTCGCGCGTGAAACAGCCATTGATGTGCTAGGTCATATATATATATATATATATATATATGTGTGTGTGTGTGTATGTATATATGTATATAAGTATATAGGCGTGTCTAAATATATATATATATATATATATATATATATATATATATATATATATATGTATATATATATATATATATACATAAATATATAAATATATGTGTGTGTGTGTAAGTATGTATGTATGTATATAAATATATACACACGTGTGTGTGTGCGTGTGTACACGTGTGCGTGTATATCTATAGCTACATATTTGTATATATATATATTGTATTGTATTGTATTGATCGTAGTGTATTGAATTGTATTCTATTCTATTTTATTGGATTGGATTGATTGTTGTATTGTATTGCACTGTATTGTATTGTATTGTATTACAATATATTATATTATACTATACAATATTACATTATATTATATTGTATTATTATTATTATATCTATATATATATATATATATATATATATATACCTGTATGTACACACACGACACTTTGCTAAACTGTGCAATTCGGCGTACTCTCATTTTGCGATACCATAGTAAATATATCCTTGTCAGTCAGTTACATGGTGCTCCCTTATTCCTTCATATACTTTCTCACTTGAAGAAACTTCATGAACCTGTGTGAGGTCAATATGTCAGCGTAACGCTCGATCTCTAGCGGTTCTGATGATGAGATGTATCAACAGCCCGACTTACACGTCATCGTAATTTTAGTTTTTAATCTGAATGCCCGGTTTCGGTTTATTTAGTTCAAATTTCCTACTTCATTTTGATATTGAATATGGCACAAACGGCCGGAGGCGCTACCGATTTGATTATTATCGACCGCTGAGAGCAGATCCACTCTCGTCTATGGTCAACTAAGCTATCTTATATTTTATATATTATACTGTAGTAATATGCGCATCCAAACACTGCTGCTGGCTAAATTTAAATCTACTACTATTTACTAATGTTACCAATGCCTTCACATCTTTGTGTTGTGTTGGCTCTTCTAATGTTTGTCATAGTTCTCTTAATTATTCGTCTCGGCTACTGATTTTTATACTAGACAATCAATATCTCCCCGAAATGAAGCGACGGATACTGCTATGCACTGACTTGTCCTCTGTGCAAAGATCTAGCTATTTCCATCGGAAACGACTTTATCGAAAGCGGCACTTCTGGGGGCGACATAGAAACTTGAATTCAAGTGTATGAGTCTGTACTATGCTTTCTTCGTTTCTTCCTACTCAAGCGCATCTTATTAGTTCTCAGCCACCTTTTGACTCCATCAGGCGACTGTGATTCTGGCTCTGATCGCAGCTAAGAATTTTGTGAGAACATAGGTTTTAGTAAAAATTTAATGATATGGTGAACAAAGTTAGCAGGAAATACCGAACTGAGAATGAACATTAGCACAATTATGCCCTGAGTTTGGAGAAGACTCTCTATAACTACTCGCGAACTACAAGTCGCACACACCTCGATAGCTTTACTTTGAAGGGTGATGAAAAGTCTTGTTTGGATTTTGTCCAGTATATGAACTGAACATAATGTATCTGCCTCCATCATAGCTTTTACGGTGCGTTGATCCAGAAGTTTGCAAACTCTCTTGTATACTTGTAATATTGGCTCTCTTTCTCTTTGATGAACATTAACCTATATTCGTGAACAGAATGGGTGTGGGGAACAATTAGGTATCTCCAAAGATGTGATAGCATCGCGAAATAAAATTTACATACCAGCACTTAGAACTTAAGCACACGTTAGCTAATCACGACAAAAGAGACAACCCACCTAAAGGTATGAGGCAGTTATCATATTATATTTGTAAGCATACGTGAGAGAGAAAAAGTCAACACTTATATGATTTGCAATCTAGCTGGACTATCATGAATGTGCTTCTTATATCTCAAGTTCTGTATATACAATAAACTATGCAAATTTGTACCTCGAATGTAGCTTCGGGGTATATAAAAGTGTCTACAGCAGCGAGGAGAAGTGTGACGCAGGGTGTCGTTCTGTACATCTCGCACATTTGCCAGAACATCACCAGTTCGAGACTTTGCTGCCTGCCAAGCTGTGATATTACCAGCGTACAGTCCTATGAGGTGTTTGATAAAGATAAATCCAATAAGTTCCACCGTATCTATTTCCTTGGGCCTAGTGTTACAGTATCACTTCTGGGTTGAATGGCGAGGAACAAATTCGTCTGAATGCTGCAAAACGTATTCGTAAATACCTTTGTATCCGACAGGATTCGCTGCATCTCCTGAGAAGAAGATACATCCTCCAGGTATTGGTTCAGAATGGGATTCTCGCTTGGCAATAGCGGTAGGAAACCTATATCAAGACATTGGAAAATTGAGATTCACGACTTCTGTCAAATGAAATTAGGTTGGTAAAAAAAGGTTTGGAGGTAATGCGTACCGGATATTTTCTTCTGGATATCTTGAAGCAAACTGGCCCTTCTATCAATAGGGCTGCTGTCGATCCTTTGAAACTCCCGATGGAGTTCCAGTTGTGCTATACACTGTAATAAGGAAAAGAGCATGTTGGTGCTTAAGCATACTATCAACGATCGAGTCACCGTGTGGAAAATGACAAGATGTACATCGCCAATGTCTGTCATAAAACGGGTAACAAAAACCTATACAGTGTTTTAGACACAATATTGTTATATATTGTCATTCCAACCGCATATAGATACTTACTGGAAATGATGCGCTATATTATGTTCTTATCGCGAGCGTGAAATAGCAATTTTTAATAGGCGCCAAAGTCATTAATAAATCGAGACTAGAATTTACGTTCAATAGCACTTACGAATTTAGCAAACATTCTGATAGCCGTCAATTGCTTGTCGTTCAACGCGGCTGGGGCATCATTCACACAGCATAAAGTCCCAATGACACAGCCTTTGGCCGTTAGCAATGGATAGGCTGTGGGTTGTGAGTATATATCATCAGTGACCTTTAATATATTTCACCTGAGACGTATTTCAAGATATGTCGTCAAAAGCATTGAACTGTGTACAATACCGTGCGATTATTATTGCAATCATAAAAATATGCCACAACGTTGTAAACCAGTTCTCCAACCAAATATGATGATCATTGAAATCAGTCAAGCGCAACCTACCGTAGTGAAACCGTGCAGTAGGCTTGTCTGCTATAAAGCCCGTTTCACACAGGCTTGGATTTCCCAATGGTTTAAGTGCATGCAGAGGTGTCGCCGAGTCTTTTTCAGTTGCCAAGCACATCGAACCTTCATCAAACACGGGCTATAGATTTGTGGTTTCGAAAACATACAGTTGCTGTGAGTCGGAGATGTTGGTGTATCTATATAGTATCTACTAGTGCATCGTACAAGAATAGTTGAATTTGTGTATTGTAGTAACTAACATGTATTAATCAATAGATCGCACATTAGCCTTCTGCATTGAACATACCTTTGCTTTAAAACCAGCACGAGCGTTGTGGTCAGTGCTTGTCTTGTTTACAGTCGTATATAAAACCGACTCACACTGCATCAGTTTCTTCAGTGTGTACGCAAGACCCCGTAAATGATCAATTACGAGATCAGAATTGTTGGTTTCGAAAGTATCGTGTTTATACTCAACGGCAGACTCCTGCAATATTTTCAAGAGAAATGAAATTTGTTTACAATGACCTTCCTAATATCCACTGCTGCGGACTATAAGGAGGAAAGCAAATATATGTGATCCAGTTAGTCGAATAGTCACGCTCACCTTTTATTATGAACAAACTCGAATGTACGTTTCATTTCGCAAGTGAGCCCGATTGGACACATTTGTGTGGGAACAATGTATTAAATAAAGTCGGTTAATAGTTACAAATATACCTGAATTTTCTTTAAAGACTCGCTCGTAGGCCATGACAGTGACTCCCGATCGGCAATCTCATCCTCAGTTTGTTGGAATGAGGGTAAAATTTTACTATTGGTACGGTTGGCATCTGCTGGAGTATAATTATCTATGACCGTAGAGTGTTGGGTGCTAACCTTTGCACCTTCCATCCTGCGATACAATTGCCGTATATATTTTCCAACCTCTTCAGACATACTTTCTTGTTGTGCACAGTGTCGACTATGTGGTTGTGTTGCGCTCTTAAGCTAAAAGATACCAATATCGATATTCGCATGTGCCAAAGTGTCATATAAAGCGCTATTCTATCTGCTGAACACTTATTATATGTGAAGATTGGAATAGAAACTAGACACACACATAGTATTAAATTTTTTTAATTATTCATATACATATCATACATACAACAAACAAAATTCCGAAATTGGCCTAAACCAACTCCAAACCTATTTTAGAATGGTGTCGAAACTCATCTCGGAATAAAGAGCAAATCTCTGTGTTACTCAATACTCGATCGATATATGTACATAAATAGCGTGATGATTGTTTCATATTTATACACATGATACTTGATAGTTGGAACAAAAAGAGCAAATACAATTTGCTTTTCTTTATTTTAAAACATTTCCATAACAGCTGCTTTCAGCTTTCTGAAAATTGAACAAGAAGGCTATTTTTGAATATGTAATGTAAATATTAAAAACTTTTCATATATAAATACATAGCTCTCTCGAGTCTCGAAATTTTTTTTTTTTAAAGTAGAAGCTTTCAAGAAATTATTTGATTTGATTTTTGAAAAACAAATACCTCAGAAGATGACTGGATAAGAATCATAAGATCATTATGACTCATGATGAGAGGAATCAGGGGAATGCCCATATGTACATAAATAATTGTATTTTTTTATCACTAGAAGCTTTTACTCGAAGTCCCATTAACCATTCTCCCATCAACATGTTCTTGTACCCCTGCCTGGGTCTTGTTGCACTGACATCGTCCACTCTTGAACCTCGTGCTCCAAACTACCCCGGTTATCATTGCGGTTGTTCTTTACTCCTTCCGACCAACTCCGTACTCTCGAAACCCATGCCTTTACTCGGTTTGTGGGTTCTTTACTCCTCATATTCTTGCTCTATCGTTCCGTTCACATGTCTCTTTGCTACTGACGTTCACCCGTTTCACTTTCGGCTCTGACCCTAGTTAGTTGGCTAACTTGCTGCCTATCCTCGTCGTCGCTGTGTCTTGGTGCTGCTCGTTCTCACACCACACTTGTCTACCGTAACTCATACGGTATATTCATATTCACATTGAAATCGACGAATTTGGTCGGACCATTCATATGCACATTTACAATACCCGCTCCCTCGTGTACTCAATTTAGTACTGTGTACACACACCTTATCGTTCTATGTAGCGTCGTGTCACTCCTATTGTGTTTGTAACTTTTATCTTATGTACCCGAACTTGCTGTATGACTGTCATTGCATGTGCATTTTACTTCAGTGTCTACGTGCGCATGTACTTTCTTTGCAAACCTATGTCTTCTACTAATAACTTGTTTAGCTTACACCTGGTTACTTGAGTATCTATCCCATATTATTCCTCTCTCTCTTATTCCTGTACCCAATTTTTAACGTACCTTTTGGGTGCCTGTACACACGTGTACTTTGTGCTCGTTGCCATGGCGATGCTCAACCATATACACCTACCTGACTTCCTTTTGTTTTCCTTGACCTTCTGATACCGTCGACAATTCGTCCAAATCCTCCTTATTCTTCTGGATATCCTTCTTGATTTGAGTCGACTCTCGTTCCGGTATCGATGCCCATGGCTCCGTGCGCTCCTCTTGTCGTGGCATGGTCCGCAGAGTCCATGTCAATGTGATCGTCGGAGTCATGTTATCTTGTTCCCGCACAACATTTTCTCTGTTGCGATTCTCTGTTTTATTATCTATCGTTGACGTCCTTAGGGTCTCCTGACTGTTAACTAGTCGTCTTCCTCTCTCATCTCACCTGTCTACCTGTCGATGTACATGAGATTGTATTCTACGGTTGTGTTGACCCACACGGTTCGCCTGCCCCTGTATTCTTACGGTTCCTTCCGTCATTTCATGTTTTGAAGCACTACTGCTGTTTGATAGGAGTGCTGGCATGCTATCGCTTGTATCGCTACTAATAAATCTACTATCCGTGTCATTTAACAATGGTTGGGCCGTGTTGGAAATCGACATTTCAGTTGCCGACGTCTACTGATGCCTAGGTCTTTCTCTCTTCTTTGTGTCATAATTTTTTTCTACTTCTATCTGTGGACCTCTCGGTCCTATTATCTTCTTTTCTTATCTAAGATAAGCTCAATTAATGTACAACATCTAGGTCAGTTAAAAATGTATTAAGTAGTCGAGGATAACTGTATCTCAACGTACTCCACTCGTACAAGGGGAGACGTTGTTCATTTATTGAACTAAATCCTGTGACTATCATTTTGGTCATGTGATTTCCATTAATCAGTTTTAATCTAATTGGATAAACCCAGTTCAAAATGTAGTCTCTAATAAAACCAATATATAAAATAAACCCTAATCCTAAATAAACCCTATCAGGGACTTCCAGACTACACTAAGCAGCGGAAGAAAAAGCAAGCCGCAGCGAAGGATCAAAGTCATGGTGAATCAGGGGAGGATGACTTGAAAGATGAGCCAATAGCACAAACACTGTTGGATCAACCCCAAATCAACGTAACAGAAGAACAACTGCGTTTCGTGGATATAGGTCCGGATGATGTGAACCATACACTTCACCATCAGGACGACGATTCGGACAGCAGGCTGGATTCACAATTTCTGCGCTTACCCAAAACACCACTCCAACCGGCTTGGCGACAGAACTTTGATCTGGGCCATACATACCAGACTCAGAATGATACTCAGGAGGAGGGTCAACGAGAGTTGATTCGACAGCGGGCCAACAGGGCATGGGTGTTTCGAAACATGTATGGAACGTACTTTCCGGATGTAATGAAGACCAAACCGGATGATACAATCTCACCTAGGTATGTAATGAATGAAGCGGTAAGAAATTTTGGGCTCGATTTGTTTAGAGATTCTGAATTCTACAATCGGCTAGTGGCAATGAAAACTGATGAAGGTAAGCAGGCACGCAAAATTTTTCGTCGGTTTCAAAAGATACTACCGAAAGTTTTCGGAACGAGGAGAGATGGAAGTTTTGTACACTTAATTTGGTACGCAATTCGGGATCTTCTTGGAGACATTCCCGACTTGATATCAAACCATTTGGCACTCTATCAAGCCATATTGGCGTTTGAGATGTTGTCAGACAATGGAGAGGCAACCAGAATCCGGTCTTCATCATCCGAAGCTCAATCTTCTCCTGGATTGGACGCAGCAGCAATGTCGCGAATGTCATCTGAACAGGAGCCTAATTCAAATCCACCACCGGAAGGAAATCCACAGAGTGCCCCAGAGGTATTTCCGAAAGACAAACCGACCGAAGAGCCTAAACCTGATCAGGTGGAAGCTAGAAAATCTTTGCCGTCATCGGGAGACAGTTTGCCCCCAGCGACTATCCCAACGACGACAAAATATGCTGTCCCATCAGAAGCGTTCATTCACATAGAACAGATCGATGGATCAAAAGATGAGGCAGACAATTGACTGCATGGTCAGAAGCAGTTAGAAGAAAAGGGATCAGATCACTCCAGTAGTGATTTGAAAATTGCTGAATTCGTTGTTCAAATGAACAAAGCTGAGGCTGCTTTACTCGAGGCGAATGATCCAGGTAGGATTGATGCCGCTAGTCTTTATATGACAATGGCGACACACTTCCAGACCAAGATTGATTCAGAACTAAGAGTGATTCAGACCGAGAAGGCTGTGGAAGGCGAGACGTTTGTAAAAGACACAGGTAAACTACCAACGACATACAGATCTGATCGAAAGGACCGAAAGGATCCAATCGATACTAGCAGTCTGGCGTTATTATCTAGGTCTTTGAAGGAGTTTGGACGGATTATGCTTCAAGAGATTCTGTACACCGATATGTATCAATCTTACCCGGACAAGGTACGAGAGATCTCCATTGAGGGACCTACCTACGGCATAATGAAACTAGCGGACTTAACCTGGGCTGAATTTTACTCGAGAGCGGATCAGACGTTTATCCAACGCCCTAGTTCCGTGGTGAAAGTCACTAATGCTCAGAAGAAGGTTAGCGGCAATCTTACCGGAGGATCAGGCAATGGTTGAGACTCTCAGTCCACTAATGGAGGTCAGAAGATAAACAAAGGGGGTGACAAGGGTGGCAATAAGAACAAAAATATAAATCGTTCTGAAGCCAACAAGATCAATGTCATCCCTAAGGGTAACCAAACCAACAGAAATGGACCGCCGGTAGGCAACCCTAAGCCCAGGTATAGGGAGGTCAAGAACTGTAGTGGGACTGATTGCAATTGGCCAATGACCCAACAATGAGCCGAATGGCAGATGGAATGGAAGGCACGCAAAAAAGTGTAATCACTTTATCGCGAAGTGTGCCGACTGTACCGGGACTGGAGGTTACCACAAGCATACATGCAAGGTGCAACCAAAGGTTGAAGTTAAGTGACAAACATACCGGGTCTTGTCACTAAGAAAAAAGGACGCACCTCAAGAAGAGCGTGTAATCCTTGATATACGAGTTAACGGACATGAAATAAAAGCGTTGTTGGATCCGGGCTCGCAAATTTCATGTATATCCTCTAGATTCTGTAAAATGACAGACGTAACTCGTAAGTGAGAGCCAACTATGTTGAAACTGGCTGATGAAAGAGAGATCACTTGCAGAGAAATGGCAATCGATCTTAGGTTTACATTGACAGACCAACGTACTATCGTTACTAAGGCAGTCATATGTAACACTTCACCAGACTATGAGCTCATAGTAGGTATGAGTGATTTATTGTCATTAGTTATCACAGTTACAGGCTTACCTACTAACATTGAACCACAGAAGGATCAGTCGGACGACAACTTGTTGAAACCGGTATATAAACCTTCGAAGACTGCGAAGGGGATGATCCCTCACTTTACAGAGAAACTCAAGGACTTGATTTTCGAGAACGACAAGATTCGGATCACTGACTGGGCTAAGTTCAAATTCAATAACGGTTACGTTTGTCTTGACCTGACGAGAGTAGATTTCTCGAAGCTGAAGTGTCCTACACGTAACTATGTTGCATGTCGTACGAGAACAGGTTAAAGCATGGTTAGATGACGGAGTGATC